AGTACATGCATGTGCCTCGCACTCAACATTGAGTGGTTGTGAAACGCATTTTGCGTTATTTGTGTGGGACAATTGATTATTGTCTAGAGTTTCAAAAGACAAGATTGGGTCTACACTTAGAAGCTTTTGCGGATGCCGGTTGGGCAAGCAATGTTGATGATCGTCGTTCGATATCCGGGTTTTATGTTTTTCTTGGAGATAATCTCGTGTCTTGGGGTTCCAAGCGTCAACGGTCAATCTCTCAGTCGACTACTGACAACTGTCATTTTCGATGTCAAAATAAATTACTTTTTCTCAATTAATAAATAAGGAAATATATAGTATAGAGAAATAAGGGTCGAATCCTTAAGGACTTAAAAAAATCACAAATTTATGTTTAAATGGTTCTAACCAGGCGAAAATAGTAAAAATGGGGGTTTTGGTAAAAAGATATTTAAATAAATAAAAGAAATTTAAATAAAAATAAGATAATATTGTGGATAAATACGGTAAAAATAACCTCAAGCTTCACTTTGACTCAATTTCCTTTAGATCATCGAATAAGATTTTTCCTCTGGGATTCACGTCGGTTACTTTGTCTACAAGGGTAATCCCCGTGACTCTATCTTGTATACCGAATACCCAAGGCAATCTTTGATTCCAGCTTCGGGAATTGATTCTATCAATATCAATTGTCGTAGATCAATTACCGTTTAAGTTCGTGGCGACCGACTCGGATTGTTACTTCAATAACTGTCAATTATGATCTCAATTCCCTATTGGCAAAGCCATCTCGCCAAATATGTTCCCAGGAAGTCGAATTTGCTTTCTATAAGTTGAATCTTCCTCCCACACATTTAATCGCAGCAACCTCTTGACCAAAGTCAATCTTTGATTTTGAAAACTGCTTTGATTTTGAAAAATAAGTGCAGAGATTGAAATAGATATTCCGAAGATATTAGGGGTATGCTTCAATTCTCCCGTTGGAATTGAGTCATCGCTTCAACTCTCGGCTTATGAAAAATTTAGTTAAGCATGACCAAAGTCATACTTAGCCTATTAAAAACAAAGCTTGAAAATAAAATAAAAATGAAAAAAACTTGAAAAGAAAAAGAGAAAGCTTTTATAAAAACTAGAGAGAAAAGAATATTGTAATTTGAGTTATGAGTTTAGGCTTACCTCAAGTGGGAATTTATAGCCTCTCAAAGCCTAAGGATAAATAAGAAAATAAAATAAAATAATCCTAATATAATTGTTTTCTTTAATTTAAATTCAAACTTAAAACTAGTCTCCTAATGCAACTCTGATCGTCCATCTTCCAGAAGGCGTGCAGAGGAAGTCTTCTAGAAACCGTCGCTGACTGAACCTTCTAGAAATTGTCACGTCAGACCGCGTCGTGCCTAGAGTCGTGCCCATGTCTCCAGCCGTGACCAAATAAAAAAATATACATAATGAACACGTTTTGTCACTAATTCTAGAAAGTAAGGAAATGCACAAAAACAAGCATAACACGACCAATTCAGCAGCAATAATTCCATAAAATCGAAGAAATAACGAGCAAAGATTAATGATTTTGAACACTCATCAACTAATGAGGCTGAATATCGTGCATTGGCGGATGTTGTTTGGATTCAAGCTTTGTTGACAGATATGGGAATTTCGCCCTCAAGCACTCCCGTCGTTTGGAGTGATAATACGAGTGCGATAGCGATGAGTGTCAATCCTGTTCTGCATTCTCGGTCAAAACATGTTGAATTAGACCTCCATTTCATTCGGGAAAAGGTTGTTGTGATAAAGTTCGGGTCAATTATATTCTTGCTCAACATCAAAAAGCTTATGGATTCACTAAGTCTTTGTCTTGTGCTTATTTTTCTTTGTTTCGCTGCAATCTCAAAGTCTATTGTGAAGTTCTGGAGTCCATAGACTGTAGGGAGAATGTTAACTATTTAGTGAATAGCAATGTATAACAAGTAGGTTGTTATTTGGTTGTTAGGAAGGATGTGCCAGCAAGACAAGTCTGGTGTAATTGTTGCCAGCATAAGAATATTCTAACAGGTATTGTAAAATCATATATATGTGGTATTTGAGAAATGAAGAAGATAGACATTTATTAAAAATCAAAATTCAACACATTTTAAGTTCCATTGTTAATTTATGAATTAATATAATCCCTCCCATACCTTGAAATGAAAACCCCTTATAACATGCAATGCAAGATCCATAAAATCCCCAGTTCTCACCGATTTTTTAATCATCTTGTGGTTAAGGCCTCTGTTTTGAAAATCGGACCGGATCGGCCGGTTCAACCGGGAACCGTTGCTTAGTCCGGTTCAATCTAAACCGATTGAACCGCTATTAGTGAACCGGCCAGAACCGCTAAACCGTTCGAACCGGACCGGTTGAAAACCGAAAAAAACTGGGAAAAACCTAGATTTTTGTTTTTTTTAAATTAAACCAAACAACGTCGTTTGTTAAACGAGCCAAGTCGAACTCGAGTATTGCTGAGCTCGACTCGAACTTGAAAACTTTAAAAGTAAGCTCAACTCAACTTAAACTCACAAGCTAAAAATTATCAAGTTCAACTCAAACTCGAAATATAATATTGAAACTTGAACTCAAAAAGGCTTGAACTTAAAAAAAAAAATTAGAAGCTTGATTGAAGTGAAAGAATAGTTCACTCAATGCTCACCAAAAGGCTCCATGATTTTAAATGTCAAATTACCTCTATTATTTATAGAAGTTAGTTGTGATGCGTTTCTATGTTTCTTAGCAATGTGAGATTGTTTTGTTCTAACATTTTTACTCTTTAGACTTTTGGGATGCTCTTCTATGTTTCTTAGCCATGTGGGATTGTTTTTAAAAAAATTAAACCAAACAATATCATTTTATTATGATTTTTTTAACCCAAAATTTATTTTTTAATTATAGTTATATAATTATATTTATTATTTAATATGTTTTACCTTAAATATTACGTTGTAGTTAATTTGAATCATTTTGTTTCACTTGATTTTATGGTTTTTAACTTATATATGTTATGACTTGTTTTGAATATGACTTGTGATATAAAAAAATTATTTTTTATTAAATATTTTTGTTATTTTTATTTAATTTTTTAAATAATTATGACGTCGTCTGATTTTTCCGACCGATCAGACCGATTCAACCGATTAAACTAGTGAATCGGTAACATGATCGATTCGTTAACCGATCCGATTCTAAAAACTATAGTTAAAGCCAAACGTAAGAAAAAGCGCTATTACCATCACCACGTAACCCTCGTTTCCTTCCTCAATTTTCCCCACTTTTACCTATTCCTACTTCTCCCCATACGTGTCATCATCTTCTTTCCAAGTATCCATTCCCATTTCAAACGCTTTTACCCACACGTCACCACCATTTGTCCTCCCAAAGAGAAAATACGAAAATAATAGTAGTGTCTTATGATAATTTAATTTAAGATTAACAAATAAGAAAAATAAATAAATATTATTAAAAATATTATAAAATGTAAAATTTTATTGAATGTAAAATTTTATTGAATGTAATCTAAAAAATGTTAACTTTTTAATATTTTTGATTATATAAAATAATATTTTAATTATCAATAAAAATATTATAAAAAAGATTTTCAACTAAAAAATATTAAGAAGAAATTAACATTTTAGATTTAATTCAATTAAAAATATTATATTTTTTATAATATTTTCGATCGTTTTTCAACCGAGTTCGTCCAATCAAAATAAAAATATAATATTTTTTATAATATTTTTCATCGTGTGTTAAACTGAAGCGTGGTTCTTTAAACTTTCCCGAAAGAAAGACGAAACAACTCTTCTCATAACTCATGCTCTCTGGCCTCTTTGGTGGCAGGTATTTTTTGCATCCCTTGAAGAAAGTGCTTGTGGAGTTTCAACTTTGAATTCCAAACAAGACGTTAAAGCCATGAAACCAAACCAAACCCAACAATCCTACTCTTGCTTCTATTTAACTCAACTCTAGTTAAACCGGCTCGCTATTTACCTAATTTTTTTCCACACCCCCCAACAATCACTTGGCAACTCAAACTGCAACTCACTTCGGTTGTATCATTTTACGCGTGTACCCCTCTCCAAAGGGTTTCTCCCTCACTTGTGGTCCCCGCTCTACCTTACTTTCCTCTTCGCATAACACGTTGTCCAATCATCGTTTCCCACGTTTCCTGCAGAATCCAGCTTCTGTGATTTTGTTGCTGCCGCCTGCCTACTTGAAAATATGCTTCTACTTTTGAAACTTGTGTAAGGTAAAGGGTCATTTCCCAGGGAATTCTTTTCAAAATCCGGGTCGGGTATAAACACGTGTTCTATTTAAGGACCCAAAAGATTTTAGGCGTCAAATATGGACACTGGGACCCATAAGTCAAAATCAGCAACTGGTACGTGAATGAATTTGATTGGGCCACGACGCCGTTACTGGAATAAAATTGGAATTTTGAGAGAGAGATAAAAAATCATGCTCAATCTCGTAATTCACGATGGGGACACGTGGATAGCATCTCCAATTTATTAAAAATAAACATTTTTTTATTTTCTTTTCATATCTCTAAAAAAGTTAAAATTGATCAATAAAATAATTTAGTGAGATGAGATATTAGGTAATTTAAATAAAATTAATTGTTCTTTAATAATTATGAATAAAATAAATTGAGTTAGAATAATAGTAATTTATTCTACATACTCGCGTGATTAACCAAAAAAATATATTTGAAGGAAGAAGAAAATAAAAAAGTGTTTGGGGTAGGACCACATGCGTGTCAGGCAAGGAAGTTGCTTTGTAGAGCGCTGTTGAGATGTGATTGGATTAGGGGAACACGTGGTGGATACGGATGTGAGATCAGCGGTGGAGATGAGCTCCTTTCCAAATTAGAGTACTGCCTGTTTTCTGGTCTGCCCGAGAATACATCGGGCAGTCTGGCAGTGGCAGCCCAAAGAAACAGCTTCTTTCTGAACCGAAAGCTTCTTCTGTTTAATTTAAATGCTTCTCTGTGAATATATCGGAACATTTCATTTTTCGTATTCATTTTTACGTTGATTTCGTTTTTGAAAAATAGAAAGAAGAGTATTAAGGAATAAAATTTGATTGTTTTGACATCAATGATGATGTGGTCTTAGTTATTCTTATGGCGGAGATCTGTTGCAGTGTGGCGAGCGAAGGGGAAGCAACAATACTGTACGAGTCGAGTTCACGCGCAGCAAGGAGACGTCGAATGGAGCTTAGACGAATTAAAATCGTGGACGTGGCTGCATCGGAAGCTGAAAACAGCAGGAAACGCAAGAAGATGCAAGCTTACGCGACATCATTTTTTCTAGACTGTGAAAACGCTAATGGAATTCCTGCTTCCAATGAGGAGAGGAAAAAACGAACGGTTAAACCTACAAATGGAAGATCGGAAACGAACGGAACGATAATTAAAAGTCACTCGAGTCCCTCGCTACTGAATGCTGTGACCGATTCCGATTTGCATCCTAAGTTTGGCGTCGCTTCGGTTTGTGGAAGGAGAAGAGACATGGAAGACGCCGTCGCAATTTGTCCGTCTTTCCACCGCCAAGGCCAGGACTACGCCGGCAGTGGCTTCCACTATTTTGGAGTCTATGACGGTCACGGTTGCTCTCACGTAGGAACCTTAAAATTTTAAAATAATCAAATGTTTCTTTCTTTTAAGATAAAATTGAGTATCGTTTGGCGGTCTTGGTTGTAAGGTGGCAATGAGGTGCAAAGAGCGGTTACACGAGCTGGTGAAAGAAGAGCTGGAGCTGGCCAGTGAGAAGGAATGGAAAGGAGCAATGGAACGTAGCTTCATGCGCATGGATAAGGAAGTGATAAACTGGAACGAGAGCATGGATGGCGCTAATTGCCGATGCGAGTTACAGTCTCCCGAGTGTGATGCCGTTGGATCTACTGCCGTTGTCGCTATCCTAACGCCTGATAAAGTAGTTCTTGCCAACTGTGGTGATTCGAGAGCTGTTTTGTGTCGTAACGGAAAGCCTGTTCCTTTATCGTCTGATCACAAGGTTAACTCGCACGGTAGTTAGCAGCTTAGAACTTAAGAAATTCTGCAAGAAAATGTTTCTTGGCTTTCACCATATTTCTAGTTAGCCAAACAAATTGCTTTAAGAAATAAGATTTTCTTGGAAAATGGTTTTTATTCCATCTAATCTCTAGGCAGCGGAGCAGCTTTATGTAGAGCATGTATTAAGTGCACCGTCCTCTATGCTTATCATGCGGGAACAAGATAATCTGAATCCGATGGTGGGATTTTTTCCGGCTGTTTCAACAACTAAATTTTGAAGAAAAAAAATATTTTGAATTGGGAGTATCTTTTATTGTACCATGATAAATAACTAAATAAAGCTCATTTTTCTCTCTTGCATGTAAACAGCCAGATCGCCCGGATGAGCTGAACCGGATCGAAGAAGCGGGAGGTCGGGTCATTTTCTGGGATGGTCCTCGAGTTCTGGGAGTCCTCGCTATGTCCAGAGCCATAGGTAAAATTTAGAACACTAAAGTAGGCTTTCATTCTCTTTTAAAATCCGACCCTGCTCACTTGAAGCATTGTCTACACCACAGGTGATAACTACTTGAAACCGTACGTGATTTGTGAGCCGGAGGTTACGGTTGCTGAGCGGACGGCGGAGGACGAATTTTTAATTCTGGCTAGTGACGGTTTATGGGACGTCGTGTCGAATGATACTGCATGCAGGGTGACGCGCATGTGTTTAAGGGGGGGAAACTGTGATTTAAACGCCCTGCTGTTGTCGGCGGGAAGAGTGGAAGGGGAGGCGGTTGGAGGGTCAGTGATGGGAGGAGAGATCTCGGATAAGGCCTGCGCTGACGCGTCCATGCTGTTGACAAAGCTGGCGTTGGCTAGGCATAGTACGGACAATGTTAGCGTAGTCGTGGTGGATCTAAGGAGAGCCACGTAATGGTCGTTTGAAATTTCACTGTTTTTCTTACTAAAAAAGGAAAATAAAAAGAAAATTCAGTGTTTTTCTCCCCCCTATTCACGTGATTTTGGTTCATCGGGAGTGAAACCTGAAGGAAAGGGTTGGTTATTTTCTCTACATTTAATGAGCTCTTTCCAAGTCTGATTGGACAAGAGATTAGAGTGCAGTGAGCGAATAGAAGATGATTGCAAAATGTCTTTAAAGATGCTAGAGAACAATAAATATTTTTCAAAACAATGTAGTTTCATGTTTAGGGTCATATGAAAGAGTTCCCATACCCCAATTCTGAACTAATCTTGACATATGTATATAATTAACCCATATGCTTGTATAAAAACGAACCTACCAAGCACAAACATCTCTACATTCCCACTTGCTAGTGAAAATGGGAGAGACTCGAGAAGTGATAAAATAACCGTAAGGATCCTTCAAAATTTTAAAAACAATAAGTAGATATTACTCTTTGGTCCCTCTAAAAATTAAAATTCACTGTTAGCTCTAATTTTTTGCCCGGCTTCGCCCCATGTATTGTTTGTACAGTTTTTTATATAGAGGAGAAAGATTTTGCTCTTAGTGTGTATTGACTGAGAGATTTTAACTATATGTTATAGAAATTGTTGATATTTATATAATTTTTTAAATATTTCAAATATGTTTAATATTCCATTATTCTAATGTATTGTAGTTTATTTCTCACTTTATTTATGGATAAACCTTTTTCTGTTACATTTTTATTATCATTACTTTTTTTTATTATTAAAAAATTACATTCAATATGAAAGAGAGCTTACGATGGAATCAACGTGACAACCCCATGCTCATTATTATCGACATCTCATGCCTTTTTCCCACTTCCATGGGATTTGTTGTTGTTAAAAGAAGCATCTGAATCTTCTCGCTTGGCTTCTTCGTTCTTTGATTCTGGGACACAAAAACAAAAGCTTATGAATTTCATGGCTGCAAGAAGTGGCAAAGGACCCAATCATTTGTTCATTTAGCTTTGGGTTCCTTGTCTGACAAGTACTGTCAAGATACAAACAGGGAATGAGTTGTCTTTCGCCATTTTCCTTTTTTAAAACTCTTAATTATTGGGGTCCAATGCCCTTGTACTAGTTTATGGTTTTTTTTGCCTTGATTAAAAGATACACGTTCATCTAGCTCTAAGAAAACTTGTATAAGAGAGTTGCGCTTGTTTTACTTGATTGGCTTAACTCATTATCATAAGAGTATTGCCATTAACAGAGCTACTTGTTTAAGTGTATGGATCTAACCCTACCAAACTTTTCATTCAGATTCCAGAAACAACGGCATTTGACCCTTTTCCCCCCGTTAGTGCTTAAATTTTCTTATTTCGCTACATGGATCTATTTTTGGATACCATAAGTGATGTTTAAAAATCATTTAAATTTAAATTAAGGTATTTAAATCTATTGTTCACAAAAATCTATTCAACCCATTGTATCCGTTTGTATTTATGTTAAGATATTGGTTGAATTGAGGTTGTTAATGCCACATCAATAGATGTGGATTCAATTTGAAAACATAAAAACTGAAAATTATATTTTGAAATAATAATAAATACTGTTCTGGTTAGGGATGGGCGTGAGATCCGATGCCGACGGGTTCCGACCCGACCTGACCCAATCTGGTCATATTTTTTAAAAAAAAAAAATCGGGTTCAAGTCGGGTAAGTTTTTTATAGGCGATGTTCGGGTCGGGTCGAATTCGGGTTTATGGTGAAAATATCCTATCGACTCAACCCGAAAAAAATATAATTTTACCTTTGTAACATCCTCCATGCCGGGTTAGTGATTAATTTGCAAAGTTTCAACATTTGGTGATTTAAGTAAAATGATGGAAGAGTTTAATGATCTATTTGAGTTATTTGGTGTAGGCTTGAATTATAAAGAAGGAGAATTAAGAGGGCAAAAGAGTAATTGAGTAAATGAAATAATTAAATATTCCTTAGGGTGATATTATAAATCACGTGGGCATTTGAGATAAGCATTCCAGACTTTTCTCTTCTTCTCTTCCTTCTCCAACCGTGAAGCTTGCAAGTAAAGGTAAGAATCTGAACCTTGGTAGTTTCTTTGATTTTTAGCTTGGAAATTGAAGTTTGGATGTTATATAAGCTAAAGGAAAGCTTATATGACATTAAGACAACAAGATAAGTGTTTTAGAGATAGATTTGGAAAATGAGTTTTTAGATGAAATTTTGATATGGATGAGTTTTTGAAGTTTGAATAAGATTTTTGACTTGTCAATAAGTTAATTAAGAAGTATGAGGTAATAGAATTGAAATTAGAACAAGTTGGAATTTGAGTAAGATTCTTCAATTCTATATGGATGATTAGTTTTTTTTAGTTTAGAGGTATTGAATGTATAATAATTAGTTTAAGTAAGTGTATGAAAGCTAAGAGTATTAAAGAGAGTGAAATATGTATGTTTGAGCTGAAATGAGATGATTTCCGAGCTCAAAATAGGATTTCTGGGCTAGGGGAATCGGTACCCATTCAAGGGGAACCGATACCCCCTCAACGAATATGAATTTCCAGAATGCTAGAGGGGAATCGATACCCCCAGGGGGGAAACCGATTCCCCCATGTATAAAAAAAAAAAGAGAAAAGAAAGAAAGACTAAACTATTAATTCCTTAAATTGGTAAGCTATTAAAGATTAATTTCAAGACATAGACATCTGATAATCATCTTGGAAATTATGTTTATGTAGATACCGAGCCTACACGAGTTCGGGAACAATCTACAATAGGATCGATCGAGGAAAAGGCAAAGAATATAGGTGAGTGCATATGCATAGCATAATTATAGAAATATACTCCATTTTAGACTTGTGATAAGTCTAGATTTTATATCTTGGTACATGAGCATATTATGTATTATGAGACATGACATGAGTTCATATAAAATGCATTATATGACATGAATATGTGGGAAAAGTTATGAGCTATGTGAAAAGGTAAGAATTTACATGTCTACGCGATATAGACTACGTGAAATGTAAAGCCCATGTTATGTAGATGAGAACTATAGGTATAGTTGGCATGCCAGGGTAGAGGGTCTACGCGGTCCTTCGGGATATATGTATATTCTTTGGAACATGTGTGAAGTCTTGGAAAGACACATACTTGATCCCTAGTATATGTATATGATTCTTAAGGAATTCTATGTGGTCCTTATGGACATCATTATATGGCACTACGGTGCAATTCTACGCGGCACTTCGGTGCATTTATACGAGCTGTGGTGACAACATAGTGCACAACCTCACATTACTCAGATACCTTAGGTTCTCAATATGCTATCATGGGCCAATAAACTTATTAATACAAATTCATGAATGTTAAAGTCATACGCTTACAGGTATGGATATTGATGATGTAGACTACATTGATTAAGTACATGTTTGCATCTTATTTCATATGATCATGACATTTTCATTACATTGCCTTGTTATTATTATTGCCTCACTAAGTCGATGACTTAGCGTGTGAGTGTTTCACACGTAGGATCCGAGAAAATAGACGAGACAGGTGAAGCAGCTTGACAACATTACTCCTGCAACCATCATACCAGAAGCAACTTAATCAGTAGGTCATTTTGTTATGTAAATGGCAGTTGGCATGTAATTAAAGGGTTAAGTTGTGTATGCTCTGAATATTTTGGTAAACTTATATTACAATATGTATATTATCGTATTTTCTTAATATAAGTTCAAATATTTTGCTATTATTTGTTAAGAGTTGTGTTTTAAAGTCAATGTAGTATCTCTGACTCATATCCGGGTCGGGTACGGGTTGGGGGTGTTACATTTAATGGTATCAGAGCTATGGTTTAGCCGATTCTAGGCATAAACCAGAGTCTATAGAGTCTTTAAATGGAATACATGCCAACAAATAATGAGAACTTCTGATCTGGTATAGTATGAGTATGTTGTTTTGCTAATAGAACAATGTGTTTATTCTTATTAGATGTACGGACATAATAGCTCCCGAAGTGAAGCGGGAGAAGATAGGCATGCTGAAAGCAGTAATTCACCTGCCCTAGCCAGGCAAGGTGAAGAACAGGCATCTCAATGAGTGCCTGTGCAAGATCAAGATACGTTCTTCAGAACGTTAGACGCTATTCTGACGCGTCTTCAACCTTCTGCTCCACTAACTCAAAGAATTAATGTAGCAAAAGAGTTGAGAGGTTTAGGAGCTCCCGAATTTAAGGGAGAAGCTGAGGAAGGTCCAGTGTCAGCGGATCTTTGGTTGAATGATTTGAAAATCATGTTAGATGGTCTCCAATGTTCCGAAGTGGAGAAATTAGATGGAGCTGTGTCTTTATTGAGGGGTCAGGTGAGGATATGGTGGACGAACATCACCATGAGGATGTCAACCGACCAGTTGACTTGGTCTTTGTTTTTAGAAGAATTTAAAAACAAGTATATTGGAGATCAGTTTATCCGACAAATGAAGCAGGAGTTTATGAATTTGAAGCAGATGAGCCGCTCTGTATATGAGTACAAATGTGAGTTTAATAAGCTGAGCAGGTTTACAGTTGAGCTTGTGCCTACTGAAAAAGATGCTTGCGAATGGTTCGTGGAGGGCTTGCGCCCTAGACTTAAAGAAATGTTGATAGTATTAAATTTGTCCTCGTTCCAGGAGGTGATCAATCGTGCAAAAGCTCTTGAAAGGGCTCAGAATGAAAGATTTGGGGACTCAAGAGTTCAGACATCAAAGAGGATGACTACTTCTTCTAGCTCAGTACCAACAAAAAGGGGAAGAGACTCGGGATTTCGTTCACAAACTAGATCAGAATCAGTTGCATCGTCTGCTAGGGGAGCAAGTCAGGCAAGACCTAGACAGACGCAGTCAGTGGAATCTGGTGCTGGGAGATCTACTCCGAGTCAAGGGAGACAGTGTCAACACTGTGGGAAAAACCATTATGGGGCTTGTCGTATGGCTGTTGGGTCTTGTTTTCGATGCGGAGATGCCGGACATTTTATCCGATATTGTCCATTGATTGTTGGTGAGCCTGCACCATCTGGAAGAGTTGGTTCTTCCTCACAAAGAGGACGAGGAAGAGGCAGAGGAAGGAACCCGTCTGAATTCTCTGCTCAACCTGAAGTTCGATCCACTGCTCGGTATACAATCTAAAGACAAGTGAAGACCTTGATGACCCTGATATTATAGCAGGTACTTTTCAGTTGTATGATAAATTAGTATTGGTGCTGATT